TATAAGGAAAACAAACTTAGGCACACCTTTTTAGCTCCAGCTTGTCCCATTCTTCCTTGTGCTTCCGTTCCATGCCAGCCCTTATACAGTAAATGAAGAAACAAAATGAATCACAGTCATGAAACACAAATTAAGAATAAACTGCCATGCTGTGAGGAAATAAAAACACCTAAACTCGATTTTGGAGTGACAACTCTCCCTCAAATTTTTCGAATATTACCTAAAGTCTTTGCTGTCTATACATTCTTTGGCACCTCTTTCCTTTTAGGCAGAGCACAAAAAAATTTTTTGGCAACCAAAGTTTTCAACTATAAACACATGTATAATTTTGGATGGTTTTCACAAAGACGTTGACAAGTGCTACCATGGCTCACTAAGATAGCAATATCCCAACTATGCAAAAACTAGGCAAGAGTCGTACCCACTATAACGAAGTGTGGCTGCTAGCAGATTTTCTGTGGATCTATACATGCTTAGATCGTTCATGGATTTGGACTTCAGTTCTCTGCGTAGACGCTTCGCTTCTTCAGGATGGTTGAAGCGAAGAAGGTTGGTTTCACCAATACCAACAATGCAGCCTGCATTAATAAAATTAACACACACATGCACATAAGAACAAAAAAAATTCAGGTCACTCTGGATCCGAATGAGGCCAGATTCACAATCCAGACTGACTGTGTATCAAAAGGTGATGGCAAATCAATTATGAATCCATCACTAGTCTATCCATTATAGTCGATCAAAAGTCTGGATCACAGTGCTTTTAACAATAAACTGCCTTCACACGCAGGACATGTACATGTCTTTGTGCTCTTTTCACCATTTTTCAAATGACTGCTGTTACCTTGAGTAAGTTGTAAAGGTGCCCTGACTTGGGTGCCATTGACAGAGCAGACAGCCTCCTCTATTGGATGGAGACTGACTATCCCTCCTTTGTTGCTCAGCCAGCAATGCTTATCTTGCACATCAGCACCAAAAAGAACTGAGGCAAGCAAAGAAAACACATTTTTTTAACATAAATACTCACTTTTTCAGTTGGTTTATTCTGATCTTGTATTGTTTTAAATACATATTGTTTCAAGAGAGAAGTATTTTTATTCTCCACAAGGAGTGCAATTCAGCCTTAAGCCAGGATAGTTTTTGTACTTACAGACCATTAATAATACATTAATTATTCATACTGCTGTTGCATTATCACCAACTCAGCATTACAGTTTGCACAAGGCTGTAAAAATAGAGTGTCCTGACTGACCCTGACCCTCCAAAATCCTCAAAATCAACCCCGACACTTGGAAGGATTTTTTCAGAGCTCAGGAAGGTTAAGCTAGGCTATTACTACTTTACATGGCCCTTGATTGCTGTTCCTTGAAATAAAAAAATCTGTATGCCTAAGCTTTTCTGTGCAGAGTTAGATTTTACCTGGAAAGTTAAATGTACAGTTTTAATAACTAAATTTTCATAAAAGTGCCCCCAGCTTAATTTTTTTTATCACACAGCACAACAAAGAAGAAGCACTTATTAGTCAACAGATCCTGCATCATGAGTAGTAAGCAAATCCTATCATCTAATGGCTTTCATTCAATCCCAATTTGGATGCAATAAACAGCCCATCCAAGCAATATTCCTAAACGTATGTTCTTTTCAATCCCTCACCAATGTCACAGGGATGGTCAGCATCCTGATGGCCGATGGTCGTGTTCCCTTCCTGCGGAAGATCGAGACCATGCAAAACAAAAACATTACAACTACTCTCATGTGACAGACTGCACAGTTTGAAGAAGAAATAGAGTGAGACGTTTCCAACCCACAGGTGAACTCTCAACCTCCACACAGCAGTCATCTTACTGGGCTTTGACATTTCTAGATATTGGCCAGCAGGGCCCGATATTTTCTTTGACCTAGTCCCCTCCCTGACTGCACCTGTGTTGTGTTCCCCACCTGGGCCCATTGCACTGTAGCGAGCAAAGCATGGCATTCACACATACACCGTTCTGGTCCTGAACACAATAATGCCTATCTGCTCAACTTCCCTGAATATCTTGGAGAAAGTTTATTCCACCAACATGCTGCGGTGTCTGTGCCAATTGGTTCACGACACAAGTCGTGCCCTTGGAGCACATTGCATGTACATGTACAAGAGCACTCAAGGGCTCTGTTGGGTACATGTATGTACGATACATGCACCTCTCCATCCATATCTAACTAATTAACTGTGACCTTGTATTTACAAGAGCAATTGCTCTGGATGTTGTTTTCTTGATGTTTTAAGTTGGGCTACAAGTATTTCATGTACATGGCAAGAAAAGATAAATAAAAGCCGGTCTATCTTGGCCACACTTTCTTCCTTTATAGCCCCATTTTCCAAGATTATGGTGGCTGACATATTGATGGGATTACTGTCAAATATCTCTCACCTTGATGTGATAAAGTTTAAGTCCCGTGCTTAACAGGTCATCATCCACGCCAATCAGATGAGGTAGGTCTGAGTCCAGAACCACTCCCATTCCTTCTGATCTCAGGGCTAAGGTGCGCTCCTGAAAAGATGGGTGAAAGACACACAAAAAATCCACATTTTCACAATTTTCAACATCTAAAACTGATAACATTTTATTATGACACTCTGTCAAAAACTGAAAGCACATCAATCAATATTTGCTATCTTCATTTTTGTCTCCAAAAATTCCAAAAAGAATACTGCACATCAAACTCATTCTGAGAAATACTACATCAATAAGCCAGTTCGGTATTCCAACAGCGCATGCCCAAAAAGAAGTGCATCCGAGGTCATTCAAACGCGCGTGCTAGGTCTGCCCAGTGCTGCACTACGCTGACTTGTGCACGTGCTTTGTCCAGAATGACCACGCTGCATTGAAATACCAAACTACGTTTGTATTAAGCCCTAAATGAGCAGTACAATCCAGGGGAAGTTAAGAAAGTGAAATTTAAAACTGAAATATAAATATATTTTCAGTATGTTTTTGTGTCATTTAGTCAGACACATGTATCTCTAGAAACATGATGAAAAACAATTAGTGACTGTCCCAACTTTGATTTGAAAATAGCCCTGCTTGATAATCAGTGGAGCCAACTACGTACATGTACATTGCATTGACTTCCCTCTAGAAAATACCTGACCAGGAGGCATGCCATTCGATTCAAGCAGTTGATTGTTGTCCTCTTTAGAAAGCAATAACTTCAAACTCATTCTTATGCATGTACTTATAAAACAAGGGTACTGTCACCTTAACTTTGGTACAATTTGTAAACTTATGGGATCAGACACACGTGAAATAAATGTGCCAGAGCCAATTCCTTTTATCATTAAATCTGCATGCAAAACAATCTACACAACTCAATTTTTCCAAATACATTTATGTGTCAGATTCGCTGTTAGTTCCACAGGTAGACCTTCAGAAGACAAAAGTTTGACAACTCACCTTCATTATTTTCTGTGTTTCTTTCCACTTGGTGGCCCACTCTTCTGTCAGCATTTTTACCTACAGGGAAAGAAATTTGGAAAGAAACTAATGAAAAAAAAAATACAATTCTTTAAGTGCACAATACATGTACTTCAAGCTTTACATGGTAGAGTAAATACACCAGTGATATATGTAGATGAAACAAGGTATTTATTCAGAAGAATTATTGCTATGGGAAGGAGCAGGTGTCTCCAACAACGATAAAAGTATTTACTGAATGGATTGTCAACGAACTAATTGGAAATAACCAAACACATAAACACATTAACAGGATCTTGCATCAGCAAAGACACCAACCGCTCACTGCGGCTGAATACATGTATTTCGCACTCAGTACTAATGGGTGTAGAATACGTTATACGTGCAGTACTCTCACTGACATTGCACGAATGGTCAGCGTTTATCTTTCTCCCATCTTGAAACAACCACGTGATGCACGAGTCTGATGAAGAGTTTGCTCCTGCTTACCTGTGGGTCATCGGTTGCTATACATGGAGTGCTTTCTGTTTTCAGGGATCTCAAGCAATACAAAAGTGGCAAACAATTAATTTTCTTTCTTTTTTAACTCACCCTCGCTTCATTTTCTTGCAATTTGTCTACAGTCTGTAGGTCTGTCAATTCCTGTGGGAAAAGAAGTTCATTTGTGCTATTTTTAATTTCAACAAGTCTATCATTACAAGACAAGCAGATGAAAGCTTGTGCCGTCTTCTGCAATGAATATTGGCACACACGAGGAATGTATGCTTGAAATGAGAACAAGGATTAACAACAGAGGCAAAAAGTGCATGCTGCATCAGTGCTGTCATTTCTGAAAGTCACTGCCTTGGACAGAAAATTAATACATTGAAATCTTTGAAACAATTGATAACACGTGAACAGCGTTGTTGTCAAGTCAAGTCTAACCCTTCACAAGTCAAGCCATATTCCTTTCATGATAAGACCAGTCATAAGTAACAAAGGAATTACTGTCACAGTTTATTTGAACAGCTTGTGACTTGGCCAAAGACTGGATGACTTATGATGAATTTGACTACAACACTAGTGAAGTCAAACTCATGGCTCAACAAAGATTACGAAGTCTTTCTGTTCCTGACTAGTGTTATAGCCATATCTGCAACTGGCTTCTTGGGCTAAGGCTACGTCTCATGTCAGCATGTACCTGTGAACGTACAGGCAACCAGGCAGGACCGAGACCTGTAGCTCTAAGGAATAAGATTTGAATGTGGCCCTACTACTCTCGGCACATGTGGTTCCCTTCATCTTTCATCTTACCATTCCAGTAAGGCAGGCTTTCAACCGTGCTATCTCTGCCCTCAGCTGCCTGATGAGCCTGACGTTAGGATCCTGCGACACAATGAAAGAATGAGGTTTTAAACAGTCAACAATGCGCCATGCCCCGTCGAGCTCATGCATAAACCAAAATCGCAAAAAACTCATCTCAGATTTTATAACAATAACCTTGACCCTTGACCTAGGAGTCCAAAGATGATCGGCTTCCAGCAGGACATCAAGACAAACCAAGTTTGAAGTTGATATACTTAGTCTTGCTTTTGAGTAATGAAAGAAAAGCTTCTTGTATCCATGTGGAGGGACAGATGGACACACAGGCAGACATGGCAAGCCAGTATGCCCCTTTGGCTTCACCAGCATGGCACAGAAATCAACCAAGATACGATGTTCAAGTAAAAATAACATGCCCTTCTTTATATCTGAGAGAAGCATTTGAAGCAGACCCCGTCCAACCATGGGCAATTTCTTTGGTGTTCAGTTCACCCCAATAATCAGAGAAAGGGAAATCCCGTGGGAGCTTGTAGAGACTTGCTGGGATATTAAACAATAGAAACAGACATCATAAAATAATTCACAGATACAGATACACACGGTACAGGTTTGGGACATTCTGTAATATCAGTGATATAATACTGTGTTTACATTTCAGAACTGTGAGCCTAAGTAATACAAAGATTAGTGGCAAGGCCAAGAAGTGTCTGCATGGGAGTGCGAGCAAGTTTTTACCTCATTAATGGTAGGCTTGTTTATGATGTTCTTTGCACGATTAGCATATCTCAAGGTGCTCAGCGTCTCACCGTAATTCACGTCAGCAGGAGAAATAGCTAGAGAAGAAATTTAAAGAGTGTAACAGCCAATTAATACTTCACATGATTGGCAATTTGGATACTTGGGACATTAAAAAACTGCCAAATTGTGTTGTTTACAGACGTATCATAATAAAGAGTGCCATCATCTTTATTATGATATGTATTTCTATTTCATTATAAACTATTACCTCTAACCTCAGGCAATTTGTCCAGGGTAGAAAACCAATGGCATAGGTTTTTGTACTTTAACCCCTTCGCGCTGGGAGGCGGCTAGACATGCCGTATAAAAATTGAGACGCTCGACCGACGCTCGAGCGAACACGGTGAAAGATGGCAGACCCTGGCTCTTGTATATATGGTAATTGGCCTTTGTGTGTAGCCCAGAAATGAAAAGA